GTTGAGTGTTGGTTGCGCCAGCCGCCTGCGCCCTCCCCCGTCTTCGGTCTTCTTGACTTTTGTCTTGACATCGGGTCCAGTGTGGAAGTGATGAGAGAGTGGGGTAGCTCCTGCGAGTCTACTTTCACTATAATCCAGCGGAAGTCATCGCGTTTGCCTTCAACTCGTTGAAGCTCATGGTGGACATTGTCGAAGTCGACGGTCGAACTGTCGTGTCTTTTCTAGACTACCTACTTTTCCGGGCTAGCATCAGTAGTGGTTTGGACGCGTTTAGAATCCACGGCATGACTTGTACCATTTTCAAGAACATCTGCAGGGCATGATAACGGCGGAATCCACGCCCTCGTAGGTGGGACGGGAAGGCCTTATTGAATTTTGCGTAACAGTTCTCATGTCCTTATATCTGTCTGGCTGTTGACCTTTTCATACAGTAGGTAATGTACCGCGTAATAAAGTTAACTGGAGTTCCGAAATATGCTCTTAATTACAAAGGATCGCATAGGCGGGATTGTAATGTTGATCAGCATATAGCACACTGTCAGGATATTTCAGTCGACGTAAAATGACGGATTTTGATTGCGCGTGTTTTCGGTCGCCGGAACAAGTCAAACTCATACTGCTATCTAAACAACAGTATTACTGTTGCGTATGCATTTTCGACGTCTTTATAGATCCAAGCGTTTTGTCTGGAAAACATTCACAAAGCGATAGTTTTTTTTTGCCTTCCGTTTGCGATAATTTGCATGTTTTTAATGGAGAATGCAAGTTTATCCTCCAGTTTCTTTTTTTTTAACGAAAAGGTGTTCCATTCCCAAATAATTTTGAATACGATATTTCCTTTTTGTTAGATTCGGGAGTTTCTGTTTTGACCCGTGCCTAGCACTTGTAATTAACACGAACTCTGCACTTGCCCGACTGTTGTTCCTAACGCCAGCCCGGGATTGGAGAAGAAGGCGATCGACCACGCGGATAGTTTTATTCACCAATAGCAAGTCACACACAAACAGTTATGGCATCCGCTGGATGGGAAAATGTCGGATATATGTAACCAAAGCCGAAATGTCACCGCCTAATTACGCCTTCTGTGAGTCCCCAAGGAAGAACATGACAAAAAGAGCGTAAAAGCAGAAGTATTTTAGCGTAATCCGTACAACATATTTAAGGTGACAAACCCGTGTACGGTCATGCCATCGGGCCAATCAGGTACTATTCTGGCGTGGGTAGGAACACGATTGGCTCGTGACTCAATAGGTGGCTTGTCATAGTCCTAGCCTGACCGTAGCTTTAAATTTTAAATTATTGGTTGATTGATTGTCAATTTGCGTTCGCCGCTTGTAGGCGGATCGATAGCCTGCCGTGAGCGTGACTTGCTGTCTGCCTGCTCGCTGGCTGGCTGCTACTAAAATATGTACCAATCAGATCTGGTGAGAGATCAATAGCAACGGCGCAGGTGCATGCTCTTACGGCATGGAGTGTGGCAGCTCACGAATGTGCCTTCTTCTGCGATGACTCATCCTGTGAATGGAGGCATTCCCAACCGTTTCGAAACTACAAACTGTGCACTTTCCGCATAAGGAACATCGTGTATTCCTATGTCCTAATTAAAACAGTTCATAGAGGGTTTGTACGTTGAGCAGACATTTCATGGTATTACAAATGTCTTATGCTCAAAGACTTTTTATATTTGCTTTAACATCAATTTGAATCATTTAAGCACGACTCACCTCTTCCCCCACCCCCCCCTTGCGCTTCCGATAGGTCCTACATCGCAACACCAAGCCAGCCTGCATGCGTCTCTGCTACGAAAAGGCCGAACCGCCACCGCCCCTGCATGTTATGGATGCCCTGCGAGACGATGGCAAGACCACCAGCCGACTCTACTCAGATCCGCGTTTCTTCTTCGATCTTTGGAGCAAGGAGATGCTGGAGGAGTGTAACACCAAAAAGACGCCTCGAAAAAAGGTGCGTCTGCCTTCACCTCCTCCTCCTCCTTCTATGTTTTGTTTTTTTGCGAGCTTGCAACGTTTGTACCCCAATCACTACAATCATCAGGCAAAATTTCAGGTTGTTAGAAAGGACGGAGGGCACCCGCATGAGGGATTTATTGTGCAGAGAACCCCTAGTTGCTGTTTCGGGAAGCAGTTGCCACTGACGAGACCAGGGCTAGTGTTGACTGCGTCCAGTCATGCCCGAGAGTGAGACAGTGAGTGTTGTAGCTGCTTTTAAATGATTTTAGAGCAGGTTCAAGTAGTGACCGATTAGTCTGTTGGGCAAAAGTAGCTTATGTAGTCCCACTCATATACCCCTAGTCCTAGAATGTTGTCCTACGAAAACGGTGATTATAGGGTTTTTGTGGGTGGGCAAATAGGATAGGCAGAGAATGAAATTTTTAGAAATAAGTGTTAAGTGAAAAAATGTAGTCAAAGTTGTTTCCGCCGGCCGCTAGGAGTAAGTTGTTCCGCATGTAAATTGAAGGTGTGCGCGGCGCTTGGCGCCGCGGACTATGCTAATCTGACGCCAGAAAGGCAAGTTGGACCCCGGATAAGTTGAAGTAGAC